CCTCACTAAAAACACCTGCTATGGGTGGCATTATCACCGCTGGAAACACACTGATGCCTCACTAAAAATCTGCTTTTGGTGGCACAATCCGTGTTGTAAAAGCAGTGATGCTTCAGTAAAAACTTCCACTTTTGGTGGCACAAACACACCTGGAAACACAGCGATGCTTTGTTAAAGAAAAACCTACATTTGGTGTCACAGTTGATGCAGTGATGCCTCATCAAAAAACATCCTTTTATGGTGGCACTATCAGTGCTTGAGATGCAGTAATGCCTTGTTAAAAAACACCAGCTTTTGGTGGCACAATCGCTGCTGGAAATGCACTGATACCTCACTAAAAACACCTGCTATGGGTGGCATTATCACCGCTGGAAACACACTGATGCCTCACTAAAAATCATCTGCTTTTGGTGCCACAATAGCAGCTGAAAACAAAGTGATGCCTCAGTTAAAAACACCAGCTTTTAGTGGCACAAAAGCAGTGATACCTCACTAAATAACACCTCTTGTCTCTGGTACGCAGAGAAAATGTCACTGAGTGACCAGCAAATCAAATTTTTATTATTTCTGAAAATAATGTTTGACAGTATCAAATGACAGTTACATCCAGACAAGTCAGGCTGACATTTGTAACAGCAGACTACAATCTAAATCTCCAGACACCATAACTAAACTGTTTTTTGTCTCACTCCACCAAAATATGTCTAATCAGGATTTATTGATTTCAAAAGTGCTTGTTTTATCTTAAAGAGAAAACATCAGGACCAAAGAAAGCAAAGCATAAATAGCACAGTGCAGTATATGTTTAATAATGTTGCAGATTTTAAAGCTTTAGGATTCATTGTCTGCAAAAACAAGTTCACAGTATCTAAAACAAGTGGTCCTGTATATAAACCTCTCTCCCATCCATACTGAGAGCCTGTGGTTCTGGTGCTGACAGTGTACATGTGTTGGGATCATAACTAATTAAGAGTGGGCTTCAGGCTGGAGACAAATCTCTGCAAATGTAATGAAAGTTTACAAAACACTTGAGGAAGCTGCTGCAGAGTCGTCCCTCTCAACCTTCCTACTGTCTGAGCAGAATCAAATCCTGTGAGGAGAACGCTGCCCACTCTTCTCCCAAAAAAGAAAACACTCAACACAAGTTTGTCAGTGTTTAAGGTTGTGCAGCTTATTCTTTAGAAAGCCAGTACGATCCTTCCCACGTTTCCATGAGTGTCAGCCTTTTTTACATACTGCACGAACAAGGTTTTGGATGAAAGTGTCCCTGAGATGCTGTAAAAACTCCAAAAATAAGCTCGAGGAGGCAAAACAACTCCCAACAGGGAACCGCTCAAAAATTAATTTCTCATCCAGAGTTTAACGGCTTGAAAATAATTCAGGCTTTGACCAGAAATAAAAAGGAGGCACCCATAACAGCTGTCAGTATGAAGAATTTAAATATTCTCCATGATTTATGGAGTGCCACTCCTACAGGCTTAATCCAGTTATTCTGAGTGTGTTGCAAACAAAATTCTTATAGATAAAAAATGGGCTAATGGTGCAGCTCGTGGTGAACGTCAGTCAGGCCCCGCCGTCCCCAAAACCCAGATGAAACCAGATTATTCTTTGTTGTGTTGTGAAAGCAGAGCAGCATGAGCACATTAGCCAGCAGGTAGCCTCAAACAGACCATGCTGGCTGCAAGATGGTCTCTTCATTTTTACCATTAAGAAGCAGAGACACTGTGAGTCAGCCTGCCTCTGTTTTACTGTCTGATGCTGAGCTGCTGCTGCTGCTGCTGCTGTAGGGCCCCTAAAATATTTCCTCAACTGCCTCAAATCAATGATTCTCATGCAAGTCGGCTGTGGTAGTTTCTCTTTTTGGGGGGGGAAATAACCTGCTTTGAGAGAAGTGTGGATACGGTCCACCCACCCATACACACTATGCACCATTTTACGCGGGTTTATTGTTTCCATTTTATGGCAGTATGAAATAGGCTATCGATTTCACTTGTCCTATTTCAACTTTGGCCAAGATTGGATTTTTAAACGAGCTGGGCTGGGCATCTCCGGCCGACCCGCCTGGGAGCAGAGGATCACAGGGACCGTGTGACTCGCAGGTCGGAGTGCGCAAAGCAACGCGCCCCTGTGATTCATCCGCAGTTTCCAGACGTTGCGCAGGTGGAGGCGAAGAGGAGAGGAAGCAGCCGCTCAGGACGGACGGATGAGACGTTCAGGGATGTTCAGTACGCGCAAGATTTATTCCAGCTGAGGAACAAACAGTGTTTTTTCTCCACCCCTCGGTGTTGCATTGATTTGGAAGCGGTGGCTTCATTTGGCGCAGCTCTAACCCATTTTTCCTCCATGACAAAAGTTTGACTGTTAAAAAATGATGCTCTGCTCCGCTCCTGCTTTTTCATGCACTGCTGTGGATTCCGGCGTCAGCCTGAGCGGCCAGTCAGCACTTGAGAAATAGCTGCGAGTCTTTCGGTCTTAATTTCGGTGCCAGTTTGAACAAACAGAGGGCTTTTATTCCCGCACATCAGCTCCCCGGGATTGCATCCGTGTGAATTAATGTCGCACTCCATAATGGACTTCCTCGGACTGTACTTCTTGCAGCTGGCTCTTATTGGTAAGTTGAACACTTGTAATTCAGTCTAGTTGAACTTGTGCAAAATGAACGCGTTGTTCTGCGGCTGCTTGCTGCAGCTCCTGTCAGACCTGTTCCAGCCGGAGCTTCATGCTCATTAGTGCCACTGTTCTCTCTCCAGCCTGCTCTTTGCTAAAGTTGCATGATGAGATATTTCTTTTTCCTGCATGATGAGCCGGGTGTGTTCATGTGAACGGGTGCACTACAGGGTCCCGGGCAGAGCAGGGTTGTGGGTTTGTTAAAGGACCACACAGAAAGACCGCAAAATCTGATGTGATGTGTGACTGACAGTGATGAAGCGGCGGCACTCGCCGGATTTTCTCCACTCAGGAGATGCCTGCGTGTCTCCTCTCAGCCTGGGAGAGGGATTTTTGTGTTACCCTGCAGGCAGCAGCCCCGCACATCCTCCCGCACAGGCACACTCTGAGGTGAGGACGGATCAGTGGAGAAAAGAGCGCTTCACAAATGTTTTTTTATTTCTGCCACCAGAGCCGCTGCTGCTGCTGCTCCCGGTTTGACTGCGAAAATGCCAATGCAGACAAGTGTGTGTAAAAGTGTTTGTGTGCGCGCGCGCGTGTATCAGCCTATGTGGTTAGTTGCGTGCGTGCGCTTGTGCACCTGCCTTTGCAGGTGAATTGTGTTGTCTGTGTGTGTGTGTGTGTGTGTGTGTGCGCGTGCGTGCGGGGGGGCGGAGCGGAGTGGCAGCCGGTGTGTGCGGTGTGTGGCGCGCGCCTGTGCGTGTGTGTTATGTGTGTGAGCGCGCACATTTGTGCACGTGCTTGTGTGTAAGAGGCATAAAACTGCCCAAAGTGGTGTGCAGAATGAAATCAAACAGTAAATTCATGAGCAGGGACCATCACACACACACACACACACACACACACACACACACACACACACTCAGCTTTCTTTCTCCCTAAATCTATTAATCATGTCACCTGTACGCGTCTCATTGTGCCAGCTGGTGCAAGTCATTTCTAATGTCAGTGCTGTTTTCTGCTGGTCTCATTTAAAATTCATCTGTGGTACAAACTCCAGACTTTTTCTGATTCTGCTGCACTCTGTTCTGCAAAATTCCCCCACCATGGAGAGAAAAAAACCTTCCCGCAGAGCCGATTGCAGGCTGGAAACAGGACGTACGGACGGAGGGATTTGTATTTGTGAGATTTATAGCCTCGATGATGACAGCTCCACATCTCAGACTCCATTTCCCTTTGCTGCAGCTGTGATTGCAGATGCTCACGAGGCACACTGAGAGCAGCCTCGCACACTGGAAGTAAAATTCTGGGGCTCCCAGACGAGGTGTTCCTCCACCTTGAACCCTGAACACTAACATCACCCCATCTGCCACACTCCCCCCTGAAGGAAGTGGTGCCCTTATGTCCCTCTGTCGTCCCTCACATTTCACATTATATGTAAAATCTGTGTCACCATGCTGAGCTGTCACTCAAGACATGAGCAGGGTGGGTAAGTGAGAACAGGATGTGGGGGGGGGGGCAGTGAGTCGTAGTCTTTTCTCCACAGATATTCTCACCTTGTCAAAGAGATGTGTCAAAACAGCAGAGAGTCTCTCACCCAGGGCCTCATGATCCCGTCCATCAGCCACACAGGGAGGCCGACGCAGACAGGACGAAGGGGGGGGATCAGAGGAACTGAAGCAGCTTTAGCCTCAAGGTTAGAGAGGGGGAGACGGAGGTGGTCGGTCTCTTGGGGAACAAGGTGGTAAATACAAATTGGAAGTCTGGAATTTCCTTCTGAATCTGAGCAGCAGTGATGTGAACACTAGACGCAGGACGCCGATACGCCGAGTCGACTCATGTAAGACTGTTATGGTTTTGTTAATGTACGTTTGTGTTTGGCGTTAAGTGTAAATGCTCATATGTTGCTTTTGTGATGTGTTTTTTGTCATGCAAAGCGGAGCGCCTCTTGAATCATAAGTTAAATACCAGAAACACTTAGATAGTTGGGTTGCATTGAGCCCTCGAATGTGTGAAGTCATATTTATGACTCAGAAGCTTTAGTGGAGCACTTGAAGGCAGCATCACTTCCTTCAGCAACTTCTACCAAAGCATCCTTGAGCACTGCCTCCCAGGTGTTTGTTTGTTTTCTGGCTTAGCTATACATTCGAGGACCACCAGTCGGCAGCTCCTTACGAGGACCTTTCGGTTTAAGAGGACATTTAGGCTGTTGTGTGTGTGTTTGCATTTGGCTCTTTCCCCCCGAGCTCCTGCTGCAAATCTAAATATGCTCCTGTACAAGTTGCCAGGCCAAACAAGGCTTTAAAAATGCACGTGGTGTCCGGGCTGCAATAGTATCCGTCCAGTCTAATGAATGTCTCTTTCTGATGAAGCGAGGTGTATTAAGTGGATGTATGCAGGATTAGCATGCGCTGTTGTTGCATTTCGTTAATGTGCAGGGTAAAGTCATGCATTGAAAAAAGAAAGCTGGGGGAAATAAGCCTGTGTTCACTTCAGATTGAAATCAGCATATTTACTGCTCAGTCCTGTGATGCTTCAGTGATTATCTGCCCGCACCGCTCGGAACATTTTGCAGTCATTACTGTAATTAGTTGACCAGGTTTATCTGCATATTATTCTTCTCTAAGTGGTCGGCAGCAAATGAACACAGCCTACCTCGCCTTTTGCGACATGGCGGAGGGCTTATTCCATTTTAATATTGTGAATTGTGTTACATGCACAGCGGTAATTGGCTGGCAAGAAGTAATAATCATAAACATAAAGGGCCCACTACTTGAAGGTGGTATGCATATTTTCCCAGCGTGATTTTTGTGCTGATTGGTTCGTCACGGGGGCAGCAGTCGTGGAGGGAAGGTGTGAACAATTAAAGGGATGCGTTAAACTGCGGGGGCCCTTCACGAGGGCGAAGTGGCGCGGCCGTAGATTAGATTCATCAGGGTGGGGAGGCAGTATCACGTCCTGTGAAGAGGCCCAGCGGAGTGAAAAGGGCATCCACTGTTGATTTCACATCAGCCTGTTTTGGCAAACAGATGATTATGTGTAATTTGTTTCAAAATGGTAGCTGTCATCAGTTTCATTCAGAGGGGGAAAAGAAACACGTTGATCAAATTGCACATTCTAAAATTAAGCAGTCATTGAATTGTGAAAAGAAATGTTCAGACATTTTGTATTTTCACTATGAAATAATTTGGTGTAATTAGTTTTCCCCCAATCAGAGAGTCACGGCTAACGATAAAATCAAAGCAAACAATCGAGAACTCGTCAAAATAAAGGTCAGAGTGTGATACAGTATTTTAAATCAACACTTCAAAACAAAAACAGCATCCACCTCAGTGATTTCATACTGTAGCTAGTCCTGGTTTAGTCATTAATTATGTCAGGAAAGGGTCTGAAATCACTCACTGGAACTCGAGCAGTTCTGATTTCATATTTTGGGGACTCCGGAGCAAAGTTACCCAAAAGTAATTACGGTGTTGAATTTACGGCGCTGAGAATAAGCTGACTACTGATTACCATTCTTCACTAGGTAATTATTTACTGATTAACTTTCGTGTCCAGTTGAATAGATTTTTAAAGTAGTCCTTCCGTACTTTGCATTATGATTCACTGCAGTAAAATGATCTGAACAAAAGAAAAGCTTCAGATATTCTTAACACTGCTGGAATAATTGGATTCTTTTAAAGCAATGTTTTTCTTGTTTGTCTGAATTTTCCTCATCGTGCTTCTGCTGCAACAAGTGATGTGTGATCTCTGTGGGTTTCTTTCTCTTTGACATCAGCATGACTTTGTTTAGCTGTGAGCTACCTTGGACGACTAATCGCCATTAAGGATTTTCCATCAGAGAAAAAGTTCTTATAACTGAAAATGTGGCTTCATGGGATTCTGATGAATTCAGGCTTCTGTCAGTGTAAAGAAACGGGTCTGTCTGCCTCCTCTGAGATGGATGTCTGTCTGTATGGTTATTGAATATCAGTGCCAGATGGTGGATCTGGACTTAAGAATCAAAGCTTTACTCTAATGCTGGGGGGACTAACACTGCTGATGGTGGGGATTCGCTCCGATCCTTGTGCCAATACTGACCTTTTTTAGCAGATCGGGGTATCAACCATGGAGCGATTGATTCACATTAAGTACAGTCTCTTTATTTTCACTATCAGTAACACTCGTTCGGTCATGACGGGTCATTAACTCAGTTTTTAGAGCCACAGCGATGCCTGGCTGCATGATTTCAATTAGTTAGCACTGGTATCAGATTGGTACTATGCCTTATCGGCAGAATTGGTATCAAGAAATAAAAAATTGGATCAGCACAGAGTTTGATGACGGTGTGGACAGTAAAATGCAGTTTACTTCTCAAGTAGCAGTATTTTTCCATTGTGAAATGTTCTTGAAGCTGTGTTGATTGATTGGTGTCCACAAGGGGGAGAGAGAAATCAGACCAACCTGGTCTCACTCCGAAGTCGTCAAGTACCAGCGCTCGGTCAGTGACTTCTGGCGTCAGACACTGACGAAAAATGCCCTCCTTTCACGTCGGCATGATGCATGGATGGCGGTGTCAGGGGAAAATATGGTTAGAGAATGAAAGTTAAGGTGGCGGAAGTCAAAGTAGGCCGGGTGTGAGGGGTGGTGGATGGGTCTAACAACCACTGACTCTTACCCAGGAGGCCGGTGTTCACTTCCTGTAAGACTGTAAAGCCAGAGTAGTGTCTTTACAGTTCATGAAAGTTAATTGTAACAAAAGTCTACAAAAGTCTTGTTCAGTGTCTGTTTGGACCCAAAGATTCTCAAAGGAGTCGGGATTTCTGTTTTTCCAGGAAGGACATTTTGTTTTAATGGTTTTAGCCTGTTTGTAGCTAACGTAAATTAGCATTAGCATTATCACAATGAACCAAAGCAAAAAAATGCCCCGTCCACCTGGTCGCACTCCAAAGTTGTTGAATACTGTTGCTTGTTCAGTGACTTCCGGCATCAGACACTGGCGGAAAGAGCCATCCCTTCATGTTG